GCAGTAATGGGGCTATTAGCCTTGTGAACCTTCCTCTTAATCTTATTTATTCATGATCACAGAGACTGTTGTTTCTTCCCCAAGCGAGACGTTTCAGTTCCCTTTTTCTTACTCAGCGCCTTGTATTGACTCAAATAATACATCATGTATAACATGTACCATCGTCAAAGCCTCAAGGTCTACCAAGGAAGAAGGTAAAAAAAGAAGGGGAAGGATGAATATACGAGCAGGAAGAGAAAAAGGGGAAAAAGAAAAGAAATCAGAAATCAGAAAAGGGGAAAAATATTGACCATGAAGGAAGCGAACAAGAAAAGGAGCACAAAAAGGAAGAGGGGGTTGGGGAGTGGGGGTGGGGGGGTTACAGAGCAGAAATAATGATAAAAGAAGTAAAGATGGAAAGAGGAGAAATTTACCCTGATTTCCTCAGTACACTAAACCCCAACGGGAAGAGACCAAAAGTTCCTACATAATTATTGCTTCCCTGTGAGTCCTCCTGGGGGGTCTGTGACAGAAAATTGCAGCATAATTAGCCCCTGAAAGGATACTGATAATTTTCCAATTCTTCTGCCACCCTATATCTCAGGGATTTCCTACACAAAGCCCAACGATTTTTGTGGAAAAAAAGGCAGCCATGAGGTGCTTTCAGCTTTTTTCAAACCACACATTCTTCAGCTATGGTTGTGGACCAATTCAGATTTTTTTAACCGACGTCATTGCATGCAGGAAAGTTTGTGACCATAATTTGTCATGTAATACACTCACAAAGCACAAGGCATTGAACATAAATTTCGTCTTTACTCAAGAAAAAACATGCCTTCCAAAGGGTCAGGAAAGGTACAACCCCCCCCCCCCCTTAAAAAAACAAAAAACAAAAAAACAACAGCAACAAAAACCTAACACAAAATTAAATCAAGCTATCACCAGTACCATGCCAATGTAAACCAGGCATTTAACTAAGTCTTTTTGCACAAAAAGATAGCACCGGCTGTAACAGCAAGCCGAAGTGAACAAGAATTGGGCATTTTCCCTCAGGTTTTTGGAATTTTCACTGAATTTTTATTTTTTGGCCCATTAAAGTACACATTTCTGTGTGTATTTTACTGAAAAACGTTGATAAGAGGCATAAAAGACATACGTTCTCAGTTTCCAAGGACTCTCCAGCTAAGGAAATAACTCAAATTTGGCGGCCATTGTCTTGCTTATTTCGCATCTGAAACGAGGTGGACCCCACCTCTATCAATCGCCAATATCTTATGTGTATTCGAGATAAAAGGATTAATTTTTTTTTTTTCTTTAACAAAAATAAAGCAAATGGACAGATGATACCAATAACTCCATATAACCCAACATTGACAAGTGCGTGACACATATATCACAAAGTACCTTTCCATAGGTACAATGGACATTGTTCAGAGATTTAAGAATTAAATTCAAACCCACAAACTGATGATGCAAAGACAACATCTTAACATGTGTAATAGATCTCAGCTCGCCAAGGGATGATGAGATGGCAGAATTGAGAGGGATGGACAGAAAATACAATTTTATCACAGAGAGGTGAGCATGTGATCTTGCAGCAACTGATGAAAATTGTTTTGTTTAGTCAATTTAGTTATAACTAGACAGCAAAGAAATTTTCAGTTTGCTTGAAACAGACGCATTAAACCCCCCCTTTCAACACTTTCAAGTCATTTTAAGTGGAGGACCAATTTTGACATGTCCACTTCCAATAGGACCCAGACAGACAGGTTGAGAACCCTGAAAACTCCACAAAGCAACCCAAGTTCAAGAACACTTTTCTGGGGAGCTGATGATTATGTATCAGGGTCCTCCGCTTCTTAACCCAGCATGGTACCAACTGAGCTAGAAAAGAGCACCTGCTTCTAACAGATAAAAACAAATTTATGCACACTGCGAATAGAATTTTAAAATATATTAAAGTCGGGGACAGCAACTGAATTTGGCTAAATTTGAATGTGACCTTCAAATTAAAGCGAATTCGTTTTTCAAGGTCCCGAGTCGAATCTGTCTCTAAATCACTCTAATGGTGCCAAATTTGTAGTTCCCCCCCCCCCCTTCCCATGAAAGACAATCTGGCTGGCCCTGACTGGTGAAAATGAATTCAATTGACAGTGACCACTAAACGAAGTATACTACGGACAACAACAATAACACTGATAAACGAAGATAGATCATTCTGAGAAGATTTTAAGGATCTAATCATCCCTAGGTTGAGTCGTGCCGCAGCATGACAAGGCACTGACGGATGGTACCCAGCTGGAAAGAAAAAGACTGGCAGACCAACAGACATATGGTGAAGAACGAGAAAACAGGGAAAGACCCAAGACTCTTTAAAAAATTATAGGCTAATCATTTCAATCATATAGTAAAAGACAAAAAACCCCACAAAATTTCATCAATTCATCAATACTCTGAAAAACACAACCCACAAGAACAGACAAAAAGACAAGAGACATGAAAAAATTATTGCAGTTAAAAAAAAAATATTTAAAAATTTTTTTTTAAAAATATATATAAAAAATATTTAAAAAATATAGATCTAGAGTAGGCCCGCATCACCGCGCTACTGTTTTGGTGCGCAACCCCCGGTCTCCTGCTTTGTTTTGGATAAGAACAGCGAAAACGAGGTCATTTTCTGTGAGCATGCGCAGAATGCAGCTTATTTCACTTTCGTTTTGGAGGTTCCTGTCAACACACGTGATTCTACGGTGTTGGAAAGTTTTGCCCCTTCATATTAATGGTTTTCGTAACCGGTATCGATCAATTTACTAAGCGCTTGAGTAGTCGATTATTTAGCACATCTAGCTAATCTAGCTCTAATGTATCGTAGAATGTATACTAGAATCGATAAATACTATCGCAGGCTGCTTCTTAATGCCCAGGAACGTGTTAGATAGGGTTGCGCACTGAAGAGGACAAAATTTGGGCAGTCCGTTTCGTGCGCAATATCGGCTTTTTTGCTATTTGGCATTGATAGTGTGGCTTCTAGGCCCTTTGTTTGTTTTACTTATTAAGTTATTTCTCTATGACCTGCATTGTGCACTGAAACAGACTGTTTTCCTTCCATTTGGATGCATTATATTGCCATTGGAAGATGATAAGTTAATGTATTCATGTCAAAATTAATTAATATGGAAATATAATCTCCAAAATGTTCAATTTCTTCTTTTCATGTCTTTTTCTTCTTCTTTTCATGTCTTTTTCTTCTTCTTTTTTGTCTAGGTATAGTCTAATTCTTGTTTTCTTCTTTCACTTCCTTGTGTCCACAGCACCTTTCTTTTTCAATTTCTTCTTTTCACGTCTTTTTCTTCTTCTTTTTTGTCCTTTTCCTTCTAAAATACTAGATCTAGATCTAGTCTAGGTATAGTCTTATTCTTGTTTTCTTCTTTCCCCTTCTTGTGTCCACAGCACCTTTCTTTTTATCCATTATCAAAACACATACACAAGGTGTAAGGAAATCTCCTGTCAGGGGGCGCACAGCTCCCAAAAAGAACACGCCTAATTGACCTTGGCCTTCCATTATGGTCAGTACAGGAACTTCTTGCAAGGAAAAGAAGACAAAGCAAGGATAGAGAAAGATGAAAAGTGTCAGAAAAGAGCTAGATCTAGATCTAGAGCTGTAAACATGGTACTATTGCGCACCAAACAAGACGATATGTTGCACCAAACCAGAAACCTTGCGCACCAAACCAGACACACGTTACCAAACAAACACCACCACAACATATAGAAATTTTAAACTGCTGTTACAGTAATGCGCTACACCGTATAGAGAGGAAGTTTTTCTAACTTCTGGTGAAAAAATCATGAAGATCGACCTGTAACTTCCAGAGATATCCACAAAAGATCGCTTACTGTATATCGCACCACAGGATGTACTCTAGATCTATTTAAAAAATTTAAAAAAAAAAAAAAAAAAAAAAAAAAAAATATATATATATATATATATATATATATATATATATATATATATATATATATATGTATATATTTATACTTATAAAGCTTTAACTCTTCCTTTACCAAATATTACAATTCATTAGTTGTTTTTGTTCTTCTGAACATTGGCATGGTGAAGGAGGCAAGATGTTGTTAGGACGAGCAGCAATCTTATGCCTAGCAAAGCACAAGGACCACAATGACGAGAGTTGTAAATATATATCATTATTATATTTTGTTTTTCCCGTACTGCAAATTGCAATTCAGCAAAATTGTTTCCATTTTCATACTTTATGCAATCAACTGCTAAATCAAGCACCACCCTAACCTTAAAGAAGAGAATGAAAGGAAAGGGAAAGGGTGGGAGACTGAGCAGTTCTGGAAGGAGAGAACCAAAAAATCAAAAGTTTTCACAAGCTAATACTACTAGAGCAGTTAATTTATGTGTGGAAGGGGGGAAGGGGATGATATTTTGAGCGAACAGTACACATTTAAAGCATTTTTCAGTTTGGAAGGAAGTAAATTTGCATTTTGCCTGGGTGGAGTATGAAACCTCTACTCTTATCAAATTTAAGACCACTGAGAGATCTTTTAAAATATGTGCACAACTTGCACACGGGACCTCCAAGATTTTTTTCGCCCTTCCAAGAAGGCTAGGTGTTCCATGTTACCTCTACGGTACCCTAAGATCCAGGGTGCGGCTGAAACACTGCAATAAGAAGGAGCAAGGAGTAGCAGTAGAAAGAGTTGGGGGGGGGAGCAGAAAGTAGAGATGAAAGCAGATGTCAGAACATGATTAGAGAGCAGGAAAGGAGGAGGTGAGAAAATTTTAGGGAAGATTTTCCATCGCTGGCAGGTTTCTAATCCTGGACCTGTTGAATGAAAGGCCAACACCACCTCTCTAGACAACGAGAGCCCCCTAGAGATGTTGAGTAAGACACTTCAAGAAACTTTCCAAACGGTGACCGCAACAAATTATAAAATAAAATTACAGTATTTCAATCACACAAAATGATTATTTATATACACATGATGCTAACCTGACATCACAGATGTATGTGTGACAGACTCCCTCCACTGCCTTGACCATCTTCACAGTCTCCTCCAGTCCCTTATTGTTGACGTCCCACAAAACTACGACAGCTCCGAGCTTAGCAAACTCCATGGCCATTCCTTGTCCCATACCGCTGCCAGCACCAGTGATGAGAACAATTTCTTCTGTCACACTTTTCTTCTTGTAACCAGAGAAAAAGAAGCGTATCCATGATAGAAAAAAAGCCGCAAAAATGTTCCTCACAGCCGTTATTCCATCAAATATGATTTGCATATCCATGAAGGCGAATCTTCCAATAACACTGATGTTCAGTTCAGGAAACCTTTAACAAAACAGGCTTAGGAATTTAATTTTTATGCCCCACAAATCATCAAATGCCACACAATGTTTTGTAAGAAGAGCAGCTCAGTTCAAATATGAGCAGGATCTAGACACAGAACACTTGTCATGCTTTCATCATAAAAAAATCGAAAAAAATACTGCATCTTATAATTAATTAAGTATTCAAATTAGACTAATCTCTAAATCTAGATCTATAGATCTAGAATCTAGGCCTAAATCGACACAAATAAAGCTCCAACTGCTCACAAATGACAAATTATGCAACACACACCGGTAAATGATCTCGGGAGTAGAGGTCTCTTCATCAATTATAATGCTAGATCTAGATCTAGTAGATTTGGAGAGAAAGTAACTGAAGAATTAAAACCCGTCTCATTACTACACTACACAGACATCAAATAGATATAGAGATAAGAAAATCGCAAAGTAACAAGCGGGCCCAATGTTGTTGGCCATCTGTTGTTAATGAGTCAGGTAGACATTGTCTGTTGACTGTTGACAATCAAATGATAACAACTACAAACAGCTTAGAAATCTACTGCATGCCGACAAACAAACGAGTATAAACACAGACAAGTAAAACTTAGCGAAACACCAATGCATCCAATTGCTTTGAATCGCTCACAAGCTAATTTCATTCAAACCTCTCACTATCAGGATTTCGTATTTTATAAGCGTCTACTGTCTAGGCTAGACCTACTGAGAGATGTGCTGGAGTGTTTTGAGTTTTGGTTTTCTCTTCACTGCTGTCACTCTTCACCTGTGGGAGGCGAAGACTCGAGTACACTTTGATGTTTGGACATACATGTTGAAATCAACTACTAATATAGAAATAAGAGCAAAAATATTGTATCGATACTAGAATAAAAAGAATCTAAAAATCTTAGCACAAGAGCGGAAACAGCTGAGAACCTGGCCGCAATCGTTTTTTTGCATTGATGCTAGGCTATCCTCAAATATTTGGGGATAGTGAGTCCGGTAGTCTCTGCACTATTCCCAAATCGTAGTTCTATGGTTCTGTCACGAATGTGTGACCCTTGGAGTAGGCTAATAGCTACTCCAAGGTGTGACCTGTTAAAAGGAGATAACTCTATGGACCCAAGCCAGAACCCAGCTGATGCTCAAAAGGCCCAACAGGATATCACATGACCTTTGATCACATGTACATGTATTTTGTTTCATCGTTTTGTTCATGATGCAAATGCAAATTTAGCCTTGTGCCTGATCGTATGCCGTGTGCTTGAATTATAAATGTATTTTGCAATGCAAGTTGCTTCATGTGTGTTTGAGAGCTTGTATTAATTCTCTCTCTCTCTCTCTCTCTCTCTCTCTCTCTATCTCTATCTCTCTCTCTATATATATATATATCTATCTATCTGTCTATCTATCTATCTATCTTTTCCCCTTGCACCCCCTCTCAATGTACGTGAAAACCATACTGGCCAAGAAAGGTTTTCCAGTTAAAAGGTTGAACTGTCAAATATATTACTTTTTATTATGTGTTGTGTGAGGTGTAATTGTGCTTGTGTGATGAATTAACTGCAACTTCGTTTAGTGACTTACAAATTATCTTTACGAACGAGCCTAGTTGGAACGAGTGAATAAATGAATGTTTATCATCAATGTATTTCCGTTATAGATCTACTGGACTGCGGTTACCACCACGGCGTGGGGCAACTAAAGAAATGACGTGGGGTATTGGTTATCGGGAAAACTTTACTGAGAAATTGAAACCTTGTACTGTTAAGTTTTATTAGTATTGCTCCATATATATGCGGCGAGTGTGTCTGTGCGCACAAATGCGCGCGCGCGTGTGTGTGTGTGTGTGTGTGTGTGTGTGCGCGTGCGTGTGTGTGTGTGTGTGTGTGTGTGTGTGTGTGTGTGTGTGTGTGTGTGTGTGATGTGTGTTTGTTTGTTGGCCTACTCTGTGTGTGTGTATGTCTGTGTGTCAATGCATCTGAGTATGTATATATATATATATATATATATATATATATATATATATATATATATATATATATATATATATATATTGTGTGTGTGTGCGCGTGCGTGTATGTGAGTGTGTGTGTGTGTGATGAGAGATCAGAGAGAGTGATCGAGGGAGAGAGAGAGAGAGAGAGAGAGAGAGAGAGAGAGAGAGAGAGAGAGAGAGAGAGAGAGAGAGAGAGAGAGAGAGAGAGAGGTAGTTCTGCCTAAGCTTTTTATATGGACTACTTGATTGAAAATACTTTTTCTTTCCTTTATCTGCCGCTTATACCACGAAGAGTCGCTGAGACGTAGAGACGTTATGTCTTGGCAAACTGCAGAAATTGCCAGCTTTTATAAGCGGTGCCCATTGGCGGGATCGGTTTGATCAGAGAGTTTACAGTAATTACTGTAAACCCTCTCTGGTTTGATCGGTTCGGTTTTGTTGATTTGGTCGTGAGAGTGGGGGGCAGCAAGGTTTTCCTTCTGTGTAAGGGGCAAAACCGATAAAACCAATGATGACCTTCAATAACAATCGCGTTTGTTTTCAAGGCTACACGTTGGGCGATAGGTTTGGGCAGTTAGTCTATAATATCGCGTGCACTGAAGCGCTAGAAACCAAACCAAAACCGAATCGACCCTCCAATGGGCACAAAGGTGTCCTCATATAGTTATACCCCCTTTTAAACCTATAGTGTACATTTGGGTGTCATATAAATACTCTCTCAAGAGTTAATCCACGTTTTTCTAGGTCTCCCTTTCGCTCTATAACCAGGCGCTTATAATTCTGGTGCTGTAGTGTAGACTTAATGGGCAGGTTGCTCGATATGCTGGGCATGCGAGTAATCAAATAATATAAATACGGTACATGCATTATAAATAATATGTCGAAATCGTTTGATTTAATTTTTTTTGCCTTTCTACGTATGCTGTTGAGCTGATAGTGCGGTACCCACCACTTCTCTGATGACTGAATTACGAACCGTGTACAATGAATTTAAAGGGGTTCGTTTTGTTTCAGCATGACAAGTACTTTTCTGACTTAAACATTAATAAGTTTCCCCCTCTAGACCTTTTCCTTTTGAATAGCCTAATTAGTTTAAACTCTCTCTCTCTCTCTCTCTCTCTCTCTCTCTCTCTCTCTCTCTCTCTCTCTCTCTCTCTCTCTCTCTCTCTCTTTCTCTCTCTCTCTCTCCGCCCCGCCCCCCCCAACCCTCGACAACATTCCCCCGCAAAAAACCCAACAACTACAAAAGCAACTAACTTAAGAACAGTGGCTTCAACAGCAACCATAGCGACAACAACAACAACAGAATATTACATCGCATAACAATCCCCCCCCCCCCCCCCCCCCCCCCGTCAAGAAATCTTTCCATCGTCTTTCCGACAAAGTTGTTCGACTTTTTGTTCTTGTTACCATTTGCTTTGAGTCAACTCCATTTGAAAAGTTTTTGTTTGGCATGTTTCCAAAACCGTGCCCTGGATGAGTTTCTCACGACTGCTGGAAAGGAGAGATTTAGCCTAGCCTATCTGATTCCCAGCCCCGTGTTGGTTTCGAGGCTACTATTTATCCGCGTTCTGATTAGCACGATGTAGGTCTTATTTTACCAGCTTTATTTGGACTGGGTGCATCTTCAAGGAATATCCTTCTCACCTCCAAGGTTAAAACACTGCCCTAGGCTAGTAGAATTGGGCCAGTCGAATTACCCCGTGCCACCCTCAATTACCCACTTGGCACGGTCCTACCGAAGACTGGCAAAACTTTCTTTTTTTTTTAAAGGCATTTGTTTTACGGCGCTCGTAAGTGCATAAGGTCATATGAGCGCGCGGGACACATTTAAGATTTTCAGTTGGTAGGAATGAATTCTGAATTTTCCGAGGTGGCGGCCGAAGCCTACTCTTTTTGATTTTGGATCACAAAGGAGTCTTTAATGTGTGCAACATGTACACGGGACCTCCGCGATTTTTCGTCCTTACCCGAGAAAACTAGGTTTTTGCAGAAAGAGTCAAGAGTCCAGAGGAGGGGGCAAAGGAGGTGAGGGGTTGGGGGCAGAAGGAGACGAAAGCAGACGACAGAACATTGTCAGAGAGTAGAAAAGGAGGTGCGAAATGATAACATTTTAGAAAACAAAATTTCCCGTCGCTATCCGGATTCGAATCCGGCGGACCCATTGAATGAGAGGCAACCACTTTAACCTGTAGACCACGAGAGCTCCCCAATAATTTCTTCAGTCTTGGAGTCCTACGTAGTAGCACTCCTTTTCGCCTACCACGAGCGAGTCAATCCAATTGCTCTATTGGCGCCTTTTCGGGATTACCAATCCACTTTTTCAACAATATTCCCATTCTATGTTCAACATAACGAAATAATATATTTGATTTAAATCAACTCTCCATTCTTATAACTTTGAGTGACCCAAAAAACATCTTGATAAAAAGCTATCGACAAGGTAGGCCTAATAACGAGATCAAAGCTACTCTGTCGATCGACCGTGCCTACCGCCAGTGAGCCTGCCTGAATAGAAATTTCCCCTGCTTGACGGGCGAACTTGAAGGCTAGCCTACTGACTTCAGTGATTTCTCCGTATTTCTTGTCTAAATAGTGTATTACAATGTATTGTTAGTTATGAACGGTTGATGTTTAGTCGTCCAGGTGCAATGAACCTGTGATCAGTGGACAGCATATTATTCACCCTCTAACAATGTTCATAATTATGGCTCTTTTCGTCTATGCAGACGGTCAATTTAGCTTAAGATGGTCAGGTTGTCTTCAGGCAGCGTCTTTCATGGTTAATTCTTCCTATGTTTGAAGCGCAGATTCTGTCGCAGTGCTTGCATGTCAGTGTCGTAGATCGAAGCTCTGTAATTTATAATTATTTCGACATTAAATAAAAGGCTAGGGCCCTTAGCGTACAAGAAACGCTAAGCTAGGGCCCCAAAGAAGTTATATATAAATAGAACTAGACCTAGGTCTTAGCTCTGACCTCTGGCTCTGACGTCACGAGTTGCAAACTTAAGGGGCGCACCGCCAATAAAAGGCTAATCGGTGCACAACAACACTTTTCAATCATGGGTTAACGATACTCTGAGAAGTCTTTTGATGTTGATTATTTTTCAAGTTGTAAACACCATTGCCAATCAACGCCTATTAAAAATAAAATATTATGAACGTTTAAGATAAACTGGCTATTTACTTAAGTGGTGCATTTTAAAATGTTGTCAGTATATTATTAATTTGTGCCCGATAGGCTACAAGGAGCTTAGAACTTTTAATCTCCTTGGCCCGATATTAAACAACGCTCTTTGGGTGTGCGCATAGGATTCATACAATAATGATGGATTTACAGAATCCCAGCCTACAATAAACTGATCTTTTTGAGACAATAACGAATTAATATATAGTAAATAATTAACCGTCTTAACACCCGTAAATCATACTCTATGAAGACATAGATAGGCTATCTGTGTCAGTAGAAGGAAGTCATGTAGGCCTACACGTACACAACATGACTTGAAATGCAGTCATTGTAGGCTAAGAATGAAATTGTCCTTTTTCATAACAAACTCACTTTTGTCCCCCTCCGCCCCTTTCCCACTCCACCCGGGAAAAAACAAAAACAATTTTAAGTGCAATTTATGTTTTCTACAATCGGTCAGCAGGTGCAGTACTGTGTATGCAAATGTTACATCTATATATGACAACAACAGCAAACAAAAGAAAAATTAAAAATAAAACAGAGTGGAGCTTCAAAGTCTATGAAGACCTAGGCGCTGTTTCTAATCCTCTCAAAAATGGCGACAATACGAGCTGAGTGGGCATGTACAGCCACAGACAATTTACGTTGGTGTCGTCACACTGCTGCGACCTCTAGTACGAAATATAGCCTAATAGGCTATAATAATCAAGGAGTTTAGAACTAATCTTTTACTACTTTTAATCTCCTTGATAATAATATATATTATAGGCTGATATTGGGGATATCAATGTGTTCGGTTTTTATCGGTTAGAACCCAGGCTCCAGTTGTCGTTCTTTGTCGTAGATTTGCCCGGTGTATGTTTGTTGACAAAATGGCGGCAAATAAGGTAAATTATGCCGATTTATCAAACTTTAGTTTAAAAAATGTCTCTATTAGAATATCTGTCGGTTATTTCTCACTGGTACATTGGTTCTGTGAAAAGGGCATTCTATATAGATCATATTTTCTCCTTGGTTCTGTGGTCTTCTTGCCATTTCGACTGCAGGGGTGCGAGTGCAGTTTTGCTGCTACAGACACAGAGGTCGGGGTTGGGGAAACCGGGTTCCCGTTCTCCCCAATAACTTTACTTCTTTTTCTTAGCCTACCTTTTTTTGTCAAGATAGTTGGGTGCGTTTGTGCTGATATTTTGCGTGTCCGTAACTGTCAAAATATTTCTTTAGTATCCCAACTTTCACTCTATTTTTGTCCCTTAGCCTCGGCCTCAGCAGTTGAGAACAGTACAAGTCTACACTACAACAGAGACTACACAGTAGAGTAGATCTAGAGTAGACTTCAGCAGTCAGATATTCACGTCACCTCATCTGAACCACTTTATTTCACCCCTCCCGTCAGATCTCCCCTCCCCTGACATTTGTGTATTCCACAGATTTTTATGTGAACATTTTCTTGAAAGAAACCATCAAGAATCTAGATCTTAGGTCTAGAATTATTGAGGTTGTCTCCCCTGTTGATCATGGTCCTGGCCTATTATTATACACCATGATTTGTTTCACCCATGGCTGATGATCTTATGATAACTAGATCTAGAAGCAAAAAACAAACAAACTGGGATTCCATTTGTCCACTAGGATGATAGTTGAACAGTTCAGGTGCAAAAACAGTTATTATGACATTTAAACTGGTAGTAAAACTAAAGGAAGGCCAAAACTAAAACTATTCTAGATTTTAGATTTACAGCTCATTTCAAATTTTCTTTCAATGAAAAATTCAAGTCTTCTTTGTTAGGTCTTGACAGTACTTGAGTGCACTGTCATAGCCTTTGATTAATTTTAAGAAATTGGAGCTTGTTTTTCCCTGGAAGCTTTATTGATTTGCACTGTAAGAGGGTCTGTCAGTGTAACAGGAAATTGTATTTAAGCATTATCAGACAGCTATGACATATATGTGTGCAGGCTAAAGTGCAATCCTTTTTAAAAATAAATTATTATTATTTGAGGTTAAATTTAGTTGACTTTATGAATTAGTCTAGAAGGCTGTTGTCTGCAATGGAGAAGTCTGTCCCTCGTGAATCTTTTTCTTTTAATTCCATTTTTATTTCTGAAAGCTTGATATAATATTTACGAAGTGGCTAGCCGGCTAGACTGAGAGTCTAGCCGTACTTAAGTACGGCTAGACTGCCAGTCTAGCCGTACTTAGATCTAGGTTTGGCCCAATCGACTCAAGCCTGTTAAGTACACAGGTTTCATTAGATCTAGATCTAGTAATTATTCAGGTTTAAATACATGCAAGTCAGTAAGGCACCTTTTGGTTTTGTCTGAAATACAAATACTTTAGGCATTGCAAACAAAATTTTCATTTACAATTCAGCCATCAATATTAAGTACGGCTAGACTGACAGTCTAGCCGTCCTTAAGTACGGCTAGCCTAGACTGCCAATCTAGCCGTACTTATCTTAGGCCCTGTTTACATTAGAAAACAGGAGGTTTAAAATACATGCACTGTCATTAAGGAACCTGGTTTTGTCTCAAATACAAATACTTTAGGTACTGCACACTAAAAATGTATATTTACAATTCAGTAGGCCTATTTTTTGTAAATGGTCAGTCTAGCCATCATATTAAGAATAAGTACGGCTAGACTGGGAGTCTAGCCAGTCTAGCCGTCATTAAGTACGGCTAGCCTCTTCCTAATATTTATTTAGAAGAAAACTTAAAAGTTTTACTTTTTTTTGGTGAAAATAAAGGGACCCAGCATCAGCAAAGGTTTTCTCACATTAAGGGTGTGGTGTAAAATTAAATTCTTGGTATATATAAAAATTTCAAACTTGCCGGATATTATAAAATATACAGTCAAACCTGTGTAAGACGGCCACCCATTGTCAAGGAGAAAAGTGGCCGTATAAGACAGGTGGCCGTCTAGGCAGGACTGATCAAGATGAAGAAAACAAACCCCATTCCCAATCGAGAGTAGCCGTATTATTGTTGTTTTTGTTGTTGTTATTGTATTGGTTTGTAAATAGGGGTTGTGTGTTGAAATAAGGTGGCCGCGGCCGCGTTGGACAGGTGCCCGTTTTACACAGTTCAATTATATAGAAAAAACACAAGGGGGGAAATGGAAAGTGGCTGTTTGTACAGGTGGCTGTCTTATAGAGGTGGCCGTCAGGGCAGGTTCGACTGTATTCACATGATCTCTTCTCTGTTGCTCTGTCACTACAAGTGGAATGTATTCTCCTCTTTTTCCTCTTTCTATGAAATAAAATGAGAGTTAATTTTTTTGTTTCTTCGATTCTTTTCTGTATCAGGAGGCAATTGCAATTGTTCTGGACGTGGGGCCGTCTATGAACCAGGCCCCTGCTGGAGTGGCCACCCCCTTGGAGACTGCCATTGAAGGAATCAACATGATCCTGCAAAGAAAGGTAATTTGGAGAAGTTTTTATCTGTGTGTGCTGAAATTCAATGGGATTGCTGTATCTGGTTTGGTGGTGGTGGGGGGGGGGGGGGGGGGGCTCCCCAAGACTTCTTTAGTAATGAATGCTTAATTTTGCAAATGCTCTTTGGTATGTTTGAAAAAGTTGGGAAGAGAAAAGTTTGAGATTTATAATCAAACTGGTCGTAACTGTTTTTATGTACAAAAATCTTAGTGTACAAAAATTACATTTTGGATAGACAACAGGCCAAGATATAGATATGACATTTTCCTAGCATCCCAGCCTGTTCTTTTTTTTTTTTTTGTGGAATCATAAAAGTTTAAGATTTGTTACTTTTTCTAGATCTATGTAGCAAGTATTTTTCTCCTCTAACAGCCCCTCTGAAAACAGTTCTTTTCTGCACCATGCATCCAGCCGTTAATTCCTCTATTAATTTTCCAGGAGCTTTTCAGACTTTTGCTGTATGACCTTAATATATTTCCTCTGTAAATTTTGTTATTGATAATATATTTTTGTGTGTGTCTGATGTGTAGATGTTCTCCGAATCGAAAGATGAAGTTGCTCTGATCTTGTTGGGCACAAATGACACGGAGAACCCTCTGTCGGATGGGGACACGTACCAGAACATTGTGCTGAAGCGCTCGCTGGCCGTGGCCGACTTTGACCTGCTACAGATGGTGCAGAGTGAGCTACAGCCCGGGGACAGCTCAGGAGACTGTATCCTTGACCTTGTTGATGAAGAAGGGAACAGTCGTACCGTTTTAAACATTTCTGAATTTGTTGTTTTTCAAGTTCAAAAATAAATCTTTTGTATGTTATTTTATTATGTACTGTAGTTCCATGATCTTATTTTGGATACCCTATTTTGCGGTCTTATCAATTTTTATAGTGCAACTTAAAAATATGAAAAAGATGTCATTTTTTACCTTCATTTCTGTTAGTCAATTTTACTCTTGCTCTTTGATGTAAGCAAGGTTTATGGAAACTGCTTCATTGTATCAGAAATTCCTTCTTTAACTTTAAGAGTTTATTTTAAATTAAGTCCACTGCACTATCTTTTTTTTGTTTTTGCTGCAGCGAACTTTAGACTATGTCAGTGAGTAGAGATGTGAGAAGATGTAGAATGCAAATCACTCACTTGTATATTTTTGCTATGTCAACCATATTGTTTGTTTCCCTTGACTTGCCAGTCCTTGATGCTCTTGTGGTAGCAATGGATCACTTGGAGAATGGACTGCAGTAAGTATTTGCAGATTCAGAAGTACTCCTTACTCCTTTAGAATTTTGTAACGATGTTTAAAAACAATCTCGTTCTTGTTGGTGGTTGGAGGGGGTTGTGCAAGTTGGGCATACTTCTTTACTATCCATCATTTGTTTCTGTGTGTCTCACTTACTGTCTGATTTACATTGCTTTTATCATGTGAATTTGTTTCTCTTTATCTCGATCTGAAATCTGTGGGTGGTTGGCGGGTGCTCTGGTGTGGTTTGCTTCTTCTTTCCTATCAAACATCTATCGTCCTTATCTCCCCTCCTTCTTTTTTTTATAAATGTTGTAACACCTCTAATCTTCTGGCGCTCATACGACCTTTTGCAGTTGCGAGCGCCGTGAAACCTCTACTAAAACAACAAAATCTGTGATTTTGTCATAAGGTGTCTTATCTTGGGAGTATCATTTTGGTTGTAGTGTATTTCGAAGGTACCCTGCAGTCTACTGAAATTTTGTCAATGTTAACATTTGATACAAGTTTGCAATGTAGTCAATGACATGGTACTTTACTATTGTAAACTGGTGCATGCAGACATAATTGACACTAATATCGTTTTTGTCTTAGTAATGTCACTTTAGCTATATTAACCTTGTTTTTATCGCAAACTGAAAGGTGGAGAATGTTTTCTTGTTCTCACTAGTGATGCACCACATGTTCTCCTAAGTTTAAAGTTGAAGTTTTAAACCCCGTTTTCTTGCTACCACAGACATTGTTATCTTTACAGACAGCCTTTCAACACTAGAGACACTTGAGAGTGGGACTGATGTGAACAAAGATATATTACACTTGATTTGGGGTCTACATAATTTGATAAGTAGGCACCACGTCAGAGTAGTCCTACAATGGATTCCGGCCCACACTGGGATACCGGGAAATGAAAGAGCTGATGCTCTGGCAAAGAAATGAGCTAGCCTCCCTCAGCCTGAAATTCCTACGAATTACACCACCTGCTGCCAAATGATCAAGTCAAACCTCAAGGAAGAGTGGATGAATGACTGGGCCACAGGTACGACAGGAAGGAGGATGTATGGCCACATGAACAAACCACTGGTCAGAGATCCAATCAATAAGTTGAGGAGGGGAGATCAATCCATAATCTTCCAACTTAGAACACAACATGTACCCCTCAACCAACATCTCAACCGAATTGGAGTAAAGCAGTCTGCTGCCTGCCCACTATGTGACTACCCCTCAGAGACAGTGGAACATCATCTGTTCTTCTGTAGAAAACTAACTGATTTAAGGGGATGTTTTCTTCCCAAGCTACCCCACACATCTAACTGCCTCTACTCCTCAAAACAACAATTAGAACAGACATGCAGCTATTACCGAATGGCATCATGCAGAAGAGTTAACACTCAGATGCTACTGGATCGCTAACAACAACAGCAACAAACCCCCGTTTTTGAATGGAAGAAAAAGAAAAAGAGTTTCTACTATTGTTAAGCCAGCATCCTATAGGCGTATGACATATTTCAAAGGGTAGATTTTTTTCTTAATTAATTGCTGTTTTGTTGCGTGTACGATAGAGGTAAGGAAAAGGGTCAGATGCTTCACAGACTGACAGGCTAAAAAAAATGTTTTTGAAGGTAAATGGTGGCAGTGACAGAATTACTCTGAAAATGTAATTTTTGTTCGTTTCAGGGGTAAGAAAGGTTTCGGCACTCGACGGGTCATCCTGTTCTCGGACATGGGCGGGGCTTTCGGGGACCAGGAACTGGACACCATTGTTGGAGCCATCCAGAACACCGGTACAGAACTCAACGTCATGTGAGTCAGACAAAGCTACATTTTCTTCTTCCTCTGAGCCCCCCCCCCGCGCGTGCTAGATTTCAAGAGTGGTCAACGGTTGATTCTTCAACCTGCAGTGCAAACTGATTTTAATGTATGTGACCGTTTTTCCTACTTTGCCTTTGCCTTCAGGCAATCACATTCACAATTTTGAAGATACTTTGTATTTTTTATACTGACTTGAGGCCAGCTTTTTTGTGTTGAGGGAACTTCTTGGGGTTTTTTTTTTTGTCAGCTGACTTTGAGTTTGTCAGCATCTGTTTGCCTTTGGGGGGGGTTTAATGGAGTGTCTCACTCAATCCGTCTTCCTAGATGTTATATCTATTATATCCCACTCAGCCTGGGTTGACCCTGAGACGAACGGTGGAAGTAGCCCAGCTCCTAAATATTGATATATATCACTGTGTTGTACAGGTTATACTGTCTACAGTATACAGTAGAACTTGCTCGAACGACCATCTGTATAAGACAATGACCTGTTGTGACAGCCACTTCCTATGTCCCTCTTCTGTTTAAAAAAAAAAGTTTTTAAAGACACTGTGTTAGATGTCCACTTGTTACAAGACAGCCACTTTTCTCTGCAACAGCGGGTGGCCATCTCAGACAATTTCGACTGTAAGTGAAATTAAACTATATCAACTAACTGTGATTTTTTTTTCAGTGGTCCGAGTATTGAGGAGGACAATGATGAGGACGGAGACGCAGGAGGGGCGAAGGCAGATGGTCATGTGAAGAAAGAGAAGACGCCGCAGCAGAGGGCAGGGGAGACAATGATAAAACACATTCTGGACCAGGTCAATGGAGAATGTTACAGCTTTAGGTGAGGCACTGTATTGAATAAATGAACTTTCATGTCAGGAGTAATGTTTGGCTGTTTTCTGAGTTTTATTTTAAGATGTTTATTTATGATTCTACTTGAGAGTTTCCAAACAAGACTATTTTCTGCCCCCACCCCCTCACCTCCTTTGCCCACTCCTCTGGGCTCCTGACTCTTTCTGCAGCCTTTCTACTGTTACTCCTTGGCTCCTCCTTACTGCTGTCTTTCTGCCACACCCCTGATCTTCTGGTAGGAAAGATCTACACCTAGCCTTCTCGGACAAGGGCAAAAAATCTCGGAGGGCCCGTGTGCAAGTTGCGCACGTTAAAGATACCTTGGTGGTCTAAAATTAATAAGAGTAGGCTTCGGCCGCCACCCGGGCAAAATTCAAAATTTCCTACCAACTGAAAATATTACGTGTGTCCCGCGCGCTCATATGACCTTATGCAGCTGCGAGCGCCGTAAAACACTTTACAAAAACAAAACAGACTATTTTGTTGGAATATGCCCCTGAAAAAAGGGCTCTTTTGGGGTGTCTTGGTGGGTTTTCTTTTTTCAGTTTTTGAAAATTTTTGTTTGTATGATTTTTGGTTATATGCTTGTTTTGTTTTGCCACTCTCATAAGAAAAATTGGCAACTCTAGTTATCATTGTTCGTCCTGAATAGCAAAAAAAAAGTTCCTCATTTTTCAGATGTCAGCAACATACATAGCTTACCCTTTTGTTTTTTTTTTAGCTCGGTTCACCATAAGAAGCATGTGAGCTTTGATAAGTTCAAATCTGCTCTGACTTTGTGAAGTATTTTTTATGGGTTGAGAATTCAAAATGTTGATCTTGATTGGTCATTAACCTTTTGTTGGTTAATAAATTCTACAACTGATTGCTCATGGCTGTGACTTTTCTTTGTGGACAGACCTACCCTTTGTTGCTTCTGACTGAAGGCTGTGGCGCTTTGTTATTGCACTCAGGAGAAGTGACTCGGTGTTGCTGGAATTTTTATTGAGTATGTGGATTTTCCTGGGACATGGTATCCGGATCGGCCCTGATTGACATGGTTGAAGTAACGCTCTTTTTAAATGATCTAAATAGTGTCAATGAGGGGGTAAAACTTCTACTATCACATTTTAAAAATGTTGTTTCTATCTGTATTTCTGTCTGTCCTTTTCTCTGCTACGCACCAAATGACTGATGTTGACGTTTCGATATGCATCTCTATTCTCAAACAAACGATAAGCTCTGTTTATTTTTTTTTCTCCTTATCGTGTGGTCACACAGTGAAGCTCTCCCTGCTCTGAGTTACTTCCAGTCCCGACAGGTCAAGCCAATGGCATGGAAATGTAACTTGGATATAGGAGGCGTAGAGATCCCTGTAAATGGCTACTCAAAGGTATTGTGGATCTAACTTTGAATATAATGATACCTTCATTTATTCATTTACTGAAAAAGTTTGTCAGTTGGTGGCAATGAAGTATTGCAATCATTACTCCTTTTGCATTTTAAAGACAGTACTAAGGAGTCCCTGGAAAAAAAAAAAACAGGTGTTGACATAAACTGGAACTTGTGAGGATATCAAATTCCTTAAGTTTGTTGACGCAAAACTTCATTTCTGTGCGATTGTTGGTCATTTGAATAACAATGAAAATGTATCGATGGTAAAACAAAGATGAAGATGTGAGTCTATATGCTTTTGAAATTATTATCCTAATGATTTCCATTTTGTGACAATGTCCGTTTTTCCTGTCAACTGCTTATTTGTTTATGCAAAAAAAGTGCTTTGCTTTAGACCAGTGCTTGCCAACCCAAGCCATGTCACCTGCTAGTGGGTGATTTGGTAGGTTTGGTTGGAGGAAGAGACCATCCAGGTATTGATAGGTATTATCTAATGCCTGCTTGGAAATACATGAAGTTGAGCATATTATATTGGTGTATCCTTAGTCTGGTTAGTTTATGCAAGGTTACTACCAAATAACAGGTTTCGAATTTTGGTGTTGTTTTTGTCTTTTCCTTTTCACAAGAGATGCTTATTTTATTTTGCTATGACTTTATCTTCTTCACAATGGTTTCTTTTTTTTTCCTGTCCATAGTTTTGTTTTATTCATAAGTGATTTCTTTTGTCTTGATTTTTACTTATTCATAAGCAATGATTTTATCTTATGTTATGGTTTTGTCTTTAAGTGATCGTGGTGTTGTTTGTAGTAGTTATGTTTAATTCTTGAGCTATTAAAAAAATGTTGTCAGGGATTTTTTTTTTTTTGGGTCACATGCAAAGATTTCACAAGTGATGATGTTGCTTCCCGTGGTATTATCTCACTCACAAGTTTCTCTTATCATTTCAAGGTGAAGGAGTTTAAACTAAAACAGAGCTGGAAGAAAGTGTACGCCCAGGACAGCAGTGTTGCTCCTGGCACACTGCGTACGTACCATATGAAGAACGAGGAGGAGACGGAGGTCGAGAAGGAGGATATGGTGGAAGGTCAGTCATTTGCGATAAATGACTTGTTTATATATTATTAAAACTGGATGTATTATTAAAACTATGCTTATTTGTAAAGTTTTTTTTTGTTACAGTTTACAACATTTTACTAACATTGTACTAATTATGTGCCTATTTGGTACGTGTATGCGTACATGTAGGTTATCGCTACGGCAACACGCTGGTGCCGATGTCGGAGGACGACAAGGACAATATGAAGTACAAAGCAGAGAAATGCCTGAAGGTACTCGGCTTCACAAAATCAGAACATGTGAGTACTCCTCTCTTTTTGGTTCCTTCAGGCGTGCCAATTGTTCAGAATTTCCCTGAGACGCTTCCAGATTCATCAATTAGGAATTCAAGTGACGTTTTAGCCTTCACCACTTACACCACGGACCATATTTTTGAATATTTTTGAAAAGGCGTATTCTCTTTGATTTTAAAACTGCCAAGGGGTCTTTGTTGCATGAAACTTCCGTGCAGAACCTCCAGACCTTTTTGTCCTAATCCAAGAAGACGAAAGGATCAATTTGATCAACTGAATACTGTGGGTGGTTGGCGGGTGCTCTGGTGTGGTTTGCTTCTTCTTTCCTGTCTAACATCTATCGTCTTTATCTCCCCTCCTTCTTTTTTGTAATTGTTACTCTCTTGTAACACCTCAAATCTTCGGCACTTATATGACCTTATTGTGTTGCAAGTGCCGTATAACACTTACTAAAACAAACAAATGAAGGCTCAGGGTGTGTACAAAATTGAGGAAAAAAACAGGGGATGCTAGCGGGGATCAAACTCCTGACCTTTTGGTTGACAGAAGATCATCATACCTGTTGAGCTACTAAACCTCCAAAGCCAAATGTGATCATTATTCTTTTGACTCTCTATAAACTGTCTCTCAGCAATGACAACAGCATGAACAAAAACAGAAACATCATCATCAGTAACAACATCTCTCTGTTTCTTGTATCTGCTGCCATTTATGATCAACAAACATTTTTGTTTAACCACTGTACATGCTTTGCGGGTGGTTGGAGGGTACCACTGGTAGGTCCTACTTCTTTACTTTCCCTCTGTTGTTTCTGTCGGTCTGTCTTACTTTTTTCCAGTACTAAATGACAGTTATTGTTGATGTGTTTCTCTTTACCCCAACTCTCAACTGTTCATGCTTTTACTGTTTGTGGATATTTTGTCCCCGAAATATGACAGAATATGTATGTATTTTTATTTTTTGTTCAAACACCTTCAACTTCAGGCATGTTTAATCTTTGTAGATTATTCTTTTATTGTCACTGCTTAGCTAAGATATTGTAGAGAGAACATGAGGTCAGATTATTTATTTATGGTTTTATCCTCAGTTCAAACGGCATCACATCCTTGGCGATGGAGTCCTCAGCATCACGGCAGAGAAGGATGATGAGGTGAGTGCCGGGCATGGTAGGGCAGAACTTCACTTTCATAGAGTGCAAAGCAAAGATGGGCTGAAGTGATGAATTCTCAGGCTGATTATTGAGAATGTATCAAATTACAAATTCGGTGTGGGTGGTTGATTGGTGCTCTGGTGTGGTTTGGTCCTTCTTTCCTGTCAAACATCAATGGTCTTTATTCCTCCTACTTCTTTTTTTGTATTTGTTACTCTCTTGTAACACCTGTAATCTTCAGCACTTACATGAGCTAATTGTGTGGCAAGTGCTGTAAAAACTCTTTTTCAAACAAACTAGCAAACTGATTCAATGAATTCTAGTTCCGGATTTGCTTGTGGGATCAACTTACTGCCAATCAATTTGAGGCAAATATTTTCTGACTCCAGATGTGGTGGAAGATCATAATTGGATGAATTTTGCTAGTTTGCTGTGCTGTCATTCATTAGAATCAGATCTCGGTTTGAAGTGTTGCCAAGGGACTAAATTCGGGTGAAAACGTCAATTTTTGCAAGAGTGAGGTGTCAGTAAATGCAAAATATGCACATTTTTTTATGCATTAAGAAAAGAAATTTGAAAAATTATTAAGTCAATAAATGAAAAAATAATGTGGAAAAAACAACAACCTATAAAACAGTTTTAACTTAGCAAGACATGTTCGTTTTCAGAGAATCGAACCACATGGTTGATTCGCTGAGTTTGAGCACAATTTTATAAATTTATTGAAATCTGAATTGAATCTGTACACCTTTAGTGCAAAGTACTTAGGGTACTTAACTGATTGAGCCCGCAGCGCGACTCACAGCATCTCACTGTTTCCTGTGTTCTGACACAGAGCCGCTCAGAGCGGCTATTATCTATTGCTCCCTTTCTTCACCTCACTTACTTCTCTTCATTTTTCATTACCACTTGCATTCCAACTCCATTTATATGCTACACATAAGGTTTTATCAAATTTAGATATTTCTTTATTAACTTTTTGTGAGACCACCTGTGAGGTCACGAAGCGGTCACAAATTATTTGCGTCCGGAGTCAAAATCATCTGCGAGCTGAATCAGTTAATAGACTCAGGATGATGAAGAATGCAGAGAAATGTTGATGAGGACTCTTTATATGGGACAATTGCTACGAAACAGCAATTACCGTTTTAACAACTAGCTAATCAGAACTAGTTGAGCTAAGTTGCTGAAACTGTTTCTCAATGTGGGTTCAATTGATGTCAATTTTTCTAATCTTTGTGCTCTCTCGGTCATGAAGCTGCCAATAATTCACGTGTCTCAAAGCAATGTTTTGGGTTGGTTTATGTCAATGTCTTTAAGCTTCTTTCTTTGTATGTTATCAAGTTGCTGATAATGTGTCTCAGTCTTAACATTTTGGGTCGATTTTTTAGATTTCATAGAGTGGCAGGTCTAATTTATGTCAATGTCTTCAAGCTTCATGCTTTTTATGCTATCGAGCTGCTGATGTGTCTCAGGACAATGTCTAGGGTCAGTTTATATCAATTTCTTTTTGCCTCTTGCTTATTGCGTCATCAAGCTAGCTACTGGTAATGTGTCTCAGAGCAAATTTTTTGGTCAGTTTATGTCTATTTTTATTCATGCTATCTATGTCATCAAGCTGCTGATAATTATGTGTTTCAGGGTAATGTTGGTTTTTTTTTGGGTTTATATCAATTTCTCTAAGCCTCCTGCTTTCTGTGTCTGCCCCCAGGCAGCGGCTGTGGCTCTGTCTGCCCTCATCAACGCGCTGTACGAGACAAACTCTGTGGCCATCGCCAGACGTGTGTATGCGGCCAACTCTGCTCCAAGACTTGGTTGTCTTTTCCCACACATTAAAGCCAAATATGAGGTGAGTTGTTCTTGCCGTGGACTTAAACTTTTCTTCATTTTGGTCCGGAACGCTTACCTTCACTTTTTTACCTAGCAGTATTTTGTTACGCACTAAAAATTGGATAATATGCTTGTCAGCAAATGTAGCATTCCATCATTTCCATATAACTACTTTGTTGGAAAAAAATAATATGATAGTCTATATGTGTACTTTATTTGGAAAAGTATGATTGATTATTCACAATCTTTCCAAGTCACAAAAAGATGTGATAACACATAATATAATAATATATATATATGCATCCAATTAGAAAAGATATGGTAACACACATCATTATTATGCCTCCCTTTTTCTAATCCAGTGCTTGTTTTGGGTTGAGTTGCCATTTGCCGAGGACATCCGTACTTTTACTTTTGGCTCACTGCCCCTGACGGAGGAAAGTCTGGCCAACAAGAAGTTCCAGCCGACAGGTCAGTTCTGGTTGGGGGTTAAGGGTGATGGTATTCGCAGGAGGTGGCTGGACAGGAATGAGGAACACACACACACACACACACACACACACACACACACACACACACACACACACACACACACACACACACACACACACTCACTCTTTCACTCATGTACACACACATTCTCACATACACTCTCTCACTCATGTACACACACATTCACATGCGTACATATACATACACATGTACATACACATTTGCACACGCACACACACACATTCACATACATACAATCACATACATATGTACACACACATTCATTCACATTCTCACACCTACACACACACACACACCCCCACTCACACTCTGAAGTAGAATTATGATATAAGAACACTTTTTTCCCCCTCGTTGACTAGGTTGTCAATGTTGTACACCCAATTGACACTACTATGTAGATGATTTCAGGGGCAGGCCACTTGGATCATGCTGCCAGTGCCGACCTGAGCTTAGTGGGATACAGTGTCTCAGTATTCAGATGTAGTTTTTATGAGTCATATAAATTTTCCTCGCTGGAATCTTAATCAGATTTTTGTGTGCGGCCCTGAATGGTGGAGAGCCTGAATGTTACATCAAAGATATCAGCTGTTTTGTTGTCGGTGCCTGTGATCTTATGAATGTATTTTTTTTTGGGGGGGGGGGAATGCTGTTTAACTCTGAAACTAAGTTGTCTGCCCTTGTGTTTGTTTGGCAGACGATCAGCTGAAGTGTATGGACGAGCTCATCACCAACATGGATCTGACACAAGCGCTTGAGTAAGTTCTTGGTGGAGGGCTACAATTTACTGTTGGTTGAGGTTGGAAGAGGGATCGTAATGAAATCCAACAGACACCGCCATAAGGACCATAATCCCATCCTTTGAAAGATGAGTTGAAGTGGACAGTTTCTTTACTTGGTAGCGCTCCCCCTTGTTTTGTGGGCAGTTGGTTGGTGCTCCAGTGTGGTTTGCTCGTTCCTTCCTATCGAACATCTTTCATCCTTATTTCTCCTCCCTTCTTTTTTGTGTTTGTTATTCTCTTGTGACACCTAATCTTTGGCACTTCTATGACCTTATTGTGTTGCAGGTGCCGTAAAACTGTTACTAAAACATACAACAAACTGTTGCTGAAACAAAACCCTTGTTTTTGAGACTGGGATTTTAAAGAATACCTTCATTTGGCCTCAAGTCATGACAATCTTTTAGTTTAACTTTATCCTTATCTTTAGATCAAATTCTGTTCAATTTCTTTTTCTGAAAAATGTAGGGAGGGTGAAAACCGCTTGTGTTAGATCTTGTAGTTCTTTGCTTTAAAAAAAATGTATTGTTGCATGTTTGACATCTTGGTTGATTTTATCCTCTTGGCTGACTGTGGCTTTTGACCTTTGTCAGGGATGAGGATGGTGACAAGGACGAGGCGCTGAAGCCGAAGCTGACCTTTAACCCCTACTTCCAGCGTGTGTACCAGGTAAGTACAGTTGACATTGTCCAAGATCATTGTCGAAACATTGTCGGGGAGAAAAGGGGTTGTCTCAGATGGACGTCTTAGACAGTGTTGTTATAATAGTGGAGGAAAAGGGGCGTCGGTGGCTTAGTGGTTAGGCTCTCGGACTCGCAACTGTTAGGTCGTGGGTTCGAATCCCGTCAGGGGCCCGACGTTGTGTCCTTGGGAAAGGCACTTTACACGAATTTTCCTCACTTCACCCAGGTGGGAATGGGTACCCGGCTATAGACAGCGAAAGATCTTGTCAGTTTGTTAGTGTTTGAACACTTAATCAGCTGCTTGCACTGTATGCTTCCCGGGAAGCTGAGAATGTTTCAGAGTGTTCTATGGTCTGCTGGGGTAATAATATAGTGTAAAGCGTATAGAGCCTGCTGTTGAGCGGGGATATGCACTATACAAATGCTATTTATTATTATTATTATTATTATTATATTTGAAAATGCAAGGGTGAAATAGGAAATGGATTGTCTGGGACTGGTGGTGTGAAGAGCAGGTTCAACTGTGACTTGGTCTGTTTGTGACATGTAGTGATGTGGTTAGGGCGCAAATTTTGTAGATGGAGATTTGCCCTGAAAGGCAGGATTGAAGCAACGCAGCCAGCCTCCTAAAGGTCAGAATTTGTCAAGGACAGTGTAAAACATTTACTGCAAAGCAGAAAATTATGGGATAATGTCCTTCTTGGGGAATCACTATTAGTGTACTTGTAAACTCTTGTGATCTCTCTCAGTCCAACTCATCTGTCCTCTTTTCTCCTCACCCCCACCCCATCTTTCTCTCTGCCACTCCGCCCATTCTTGTACCTGTCTCTATCCCATCCTCATCCCTCTCTCTGTCCCATGCCTCTCTTTACCCCGTGACCCTATCCTCTCCCTATCCTTCCATCTCTCCATCCCTCTGCCTGCCCTATCTCTTTCCTCATCCCTCCTCTTTACTCACCCCACCTTCACCTCACCTCACCTCGCCCCAACCCCACCTCTCTACACTGCTCTCACCCCACCTCTCTCCTTTCCCAGCCTCTCTCCCTGTCTCTATGCCAGCCCTGTTTCTTTCCCCCACCCCATCCCTCTGTTCCCCCCAAACCTCTACTCACCCCATTTCTCTCCTTACCTGGCCCTTCTCTCTGTCTTTTTCTCCCAGCCCTGTTTCTTTCTTCACCCTACTTCTCTACTCACCACCACCCCTCTACTCACTTCCCCTCCCACCACTTGACTCACCCCTACCTCCACCCTACCTCTCCCCTTGCAGTGTCTGCAGCACCGCGTCCTTCACCCCGACGACCCCCTCCCCGACCTGTCCCCGGTCATCGCCGACTACATCAACGCCCCACCCAGCGTGGTCAACGCGGCCAAGCCCTGCCTGGAGCGCATGAAGCAGCTGTTCAAGCTGGAGGAGGTGGAGAAGAATAAGAATGGACAGACTGGGGAGAGCATGTTCAAAGACAAGTGAGTCTCTGGTTTTGTTTTTTTTTCGTTTTTTTTTTCAATAGAGTCAGAAATGGTCCAAGGCTCCTGTTGCCGACAAGAAAAAGGGCCTTCTTAGACCAGCCGGCAAATTGTCATTATAATGTTAAAGAAAAAAAGGTAAGAAAGAGGTAATGGCTGTTTGTGCAGATGATTGCCATTCACAGGTGGAAGTTATCTCTCTCTCTCTCTCGCTTCTGGCGCTGTGACGTCATAAAGTTTATAAACGGTCAGCGGTGCCGACAGCTCGCAGGAACTCAACACTTGCTCGGAGGTCCTTTTCTTTGTATGTTACTCTCTCTCAGCACATTAAATCTTTGGCGCTTACATCATGTATTTTTGTGTTGCAAGTGCAGTAAAACTCTTACTAAAGCTAAAAGTTTAAAAAAATAAATTGCAAGACTAATGCCAGTCTTCTCTCGTCTATGTATTTAGTGAGGAGGAGGCTGGCCCATCTGCGAAAAAGCCGAAGCTTGATGACGGAGACCTGGCGGGCGGCCTGCAGAACATGACCAAAGCCGAGGTCACTGAGGTATGAACTTGTGCAGTTGTTGTTGTTGTTGTTGTGTGTGTGTTTCCGCCAGTCTTGCCCAGTTAACGAACCGCCCTGGGGCCCAGATAAGAAATAAAATTCTTTCTTGCGTCTCACACACGATACCACACCAACACGGATGTTTGTTGTGTACGAACCGTTAGGTGGGCAAAAGTGTGTGTGTGTGGGGTGGTGGTGGTGGGGAGGGGTAGTTATTGCCTGGGACTCTTAAAATTAGTATTTGAGTGTGCTTGCTTTATTCAATGTGTATGTGTTAAGATCTCAGTATGAATGATAGCCGTTCGGTTTCACACCCCTGTCTGGGCCCTTTCTGTGCTCCCACCAACTGTTCATGTTCATGCGGTAGTGATGGTTGTCGTTCGTGCATGTGGTGAGTCTTATGGCAGCCATAAAATTTCATGTCTGCTCTAGTGTTGTGAGCGACAGCCCCCCCCCCCCCCCCCCCCCCCCACACACACAATAGGAAGATGAGAACATTCTCTTCTTTAAGAGCATGATCCCCAAGATAAAGACATTAGATGTCTTACAACGTACAGAAGATGGAGCTGCAAGCAGAAATGCAGTGTTCTATTCAAACACTTGAAATGGGCACGAGCAAGATATGCATCAAGACCAGTTTATCAATATCAATATTATCAATATGAATATTCTGTTTATTTATCTACCATTTAAATGTCTTTTGCTTGTCTGTAATTGGTGTTCATTTTTGTGTGACAAAATTTGGAGTAGCAGATGGTGATAATATATTCGTCATATAGCTTAATTGTCTATCAACCAAAATTGGGTGGATCCAGTGCCTCCTATTCTTTCTCTTATTTCTTTCTTTTAACAACAGTAAAATCTTCAGTATAGTGTTTGCATCCCTATTGGTATAAAATGCGCATGATAACGCATGAATAGACAGATGATAGGTGTGAATGGGCACACGTTCGGGGGTCAGACGAATGCACGCACTTTACCACATGATCGCGGATGTTTGGTGTGTAAGAGCCGTAACTTGGCAAAGATGAGCTTGAAAAGACTTCTATCATCACGCATTTGTTAACAATATAATAATTGCGTTTATATAGCGCATATCCATGCTCAAGAGCATGCTCTATGCGCTTTACAACTATTATTACCCCCAGCAGACCGTCTGAGAACACTCGGAAACATTCTCGGCTTCCGCAGAAGCATACAGTGCAAGCAGCGGATTTCACGCGCTCAAACACTATCAAACTGACAAGATCGTTCACCGTCTATAGCCAGGTACCTATTTCCACCCGGGTGAAGTGAGGAAAATTTGTGCAAAGTGCCTTTCCCAAGGACACAACGTCGGGCCCCTGATGGGATTCGAACCCACGACCTTACGGTTGCGAGTCCGAGAGCCTAACCACTAGGCCACCGACGCCATTGTTTACCTGTCCTTTAATCTACAAAACTTCTGTCTTTCTTGACACTCTAAAGGAAAAGGTTATCCATGGCCATATTATGATTTTTTCACCCAGATAACTAATTTTTAAATTTGCTGATTACTAAAACATATGGTGGTGAGTGGGCAGCCCTACTTATGCACACGCAAACACTCCTCCTCCCCCTCCCCCCAAACACACACACACACACATTCAAGTTTTAAAAACATAATTACCTAATAATATCATGAAAAGCAAGCGCCACTTAACGGTAAAAATACATGTTTACCGGGATGATGTATTCGTCTTTTTTTACATTCTTTGTCTTTGTACTACAGTGGGTGTCGCATTCAACGAGGTTGCCGGGACTAGCTTGTTGTCCTCGTTGGATCCTACCTCTTGTTGAACGTGACTAGGGCTAAAGTAAAGAAAGGAGACAAGTTTATATTACATGTAGGCTATATTATAGGATGTACGGTGTACCAATAACAGTAATTAAGACAGTTGTTCCCCCTGATGACGAAAATCTTAAACAGCTGTGTTCTGACCATCATTTCTGCATTTTTAAATATTTTTTTTCCCGTAACACTTCTCGTGTGGAAACATAGATCTACCCTCTCACATCTCGGCCTAGATCTTCATAAAGTAAAGGTTGGATTTTGTGATCAGGGGAAGAAAAGAAATTTTTTTAAAATGGAAGTTCTCGATCTAGACCTACCCATCCAGAGTTCATCCAGTTTCACACAGCCCGCATCGCGTTCCCACCCACCCCCTCCCATCCCTACCGTAGGCTAACCCTCGCCCATCGCCTTGGCTTTGGGGCCCATATTAGGAGGCACACTAGATTTAGCAATACAATGTGTTTGGAATCGGTGATGGGCCTTGTGCTTCGCACGAGATGGAGAGAAAGGAGAAATATTCTTGGCTTCTGGGGCAGCTAATTGCTTTTATTTGGTTATCGCCACCTCATTGAAAGCGACTTTGGTCCTGTTTGCAACCTTGTTGGCGCCCACGTACATTTACAAAGAGATATAGAGGAAAAAATCGGGGATTAAGGATTGTCTCGTTAGAGCCGACTTCTCGTTGAATGTGACCTCGTTGAATGCCGCACCCACTGTACCTAATTTTGGGCCTTAATACCTGAAATTGACCCTGAATCTACCTGAAATGGGAACTTTTAGGAAGGCAGCCCTGCTTCATGTGACCTGTTCTGTTTCTTCTTTAGGTTGGCACAGTGACACCCACGGCCGACTTCCGTGCTCTGATCAGCAGAAAAGACCAGGATTTCTTTGATGAAGGTGAGTGTTGTGTCATGATGAGAGGATGAGAGGTTGTTGTGGTGAATGTTACATGGGGAGGCTGGGGGTGTGTGGGGACTGAATGGTTGGCTTCTTGCACAATTATTTTTAACTCTCTAAGGACATACTGGACACATATATGTCTGATCAGCAGCTGACCAAGTGCTATATTCAGCACATTTAGAACCATCATACAACCATCGCACACAAGTCAGAAACACGAAATTGAATATCTTATAGGATGAGTGTTGTGATAAAGGAAACTTAGTTGAAAAATCTGTATGAATAAAGAAGTTATACTGGGTTGTTTTTTTAAGTGCCCATTTCCAAACGTTGTCGAATGACCAGAATATGCGTCCTGAGTGAGTTCAGACTCGTTCTGTTTGAGACAGGGGCCCGAGATTAAAGGTTGGAAACTTCTACCAGCAAATAATTGGAGGGTGCCATTGGAATTTCCACTTCTTGTCTTCATCCTTTATTTTCTGTCTACCTGTCCTGCTTTTTCCTTGCGCTGAATACATTACCTTTATTGTTTCTATGTTCTTCTCTTTTCTCAAAAAGCAAGCAGTACTCTTTTCATACTTCTTTTCGTTCACTTTATTGTTTCAGTCTGTCTGTCTTGCTTTTTCCAAGGACTTAATGGCTGTTATTCTGCCGTCTTAGGAAAAAAGGACGAATATCGGAAATTGGGTCATATAAAGATATAGATATCTTGTGAAAGAGCATGAAAAGCTGCATCTTTTGAACCAGGGGCCTTTACATTTAAAGATGTTCGAATACGTTATTTTGGTATTTGAAGTATCGTCATAATTTTTTCTTTATAACTTATTTTATATTTTATGAAAGAAAGACGAATCTCTGGTCCTACTGTGAAAAAAGGATGAATACCGAGAGGTTCGTCCTCAGCTGTATATTAGCAAGTGAAAAGGAAAAACCGTTTACGAAAAAGCGACGAACACACCGACATTCATCCTTCTTCGCCAAAACATGCCTACGTTACATTACCACAGGTCTTATGATAAAATACCAAAAGGCTCAAATCCTGGCATATCCAGCATTGATCCTCGCCATGTCAAGTGTGTTGCACGCAGTAAGACGACAAGCACGACTGCTTGTGTACACTCACCAGAATTTGAACCCCAGATTTTTGGCTCCACCGGCAAAGCGCAATTAAATAACAGTCTGGAAGCCGCAAAACACTTACAACAAACCGGACAAACTTCAAATATCACAGAAACGAAAAATCCAGGACGTTATTATTTGACAGCGTTGGGTGAAAGAAAGACGAATATCGCAATTCGTCCTTTTCCCATAAAAAGAATTAATTAAAACTTCATCAATCTGTTATGAAAGAATGACTTTTGTCTTCTCACACAAAATGTTGTTAATATTTCCCCAAAAAAATTTAACTGCAAGTGCAGAATTACACCATCCTTCCTCCTGCCAAAAATCAAGTTAAAAATAAAATTAAAAAACAACTTTTTAAACATGAAATGAATAAATTTGATTTTTTGGCCCTCTGGAAAATGGGTATGTCGCGATATTCATCCTTTTTCCCCAAGACGGCAGTATTGTGTCTATGTGCCCATGATTACCAAAAAAGCAACCAAGCAGTAATCGTCCGTAGGTGTTTGTTGGGTGTTTTAGTATGGTTTGCCCCTTCTTTCCTATCAAACATCTGTCATCCTTATCTTTCTTCGCATGTTACTTTCCAGTGACTCATGTAATTTCTGGCACATATATAATCTAATTTTGTTGTGCATGCCTCAGAACTCTTACTAACACTAAACTTAAAAGTAATTTTACTCAAATACTAGACCATCCCTCCCTCCAACCCCCCCCCCCCCCCCCCCTATCCACCGTCTCTGTATTTGGCAGCGTGCAAACAAATGCAGGCCCGTGTGGAGCAAGTGGTCACTGACTCCTTCGGTCAGCAGTTCTACCCCAAGGCCCTGGACTGCCTCAAGGTCCTGCGACAGGAATGCGTCAAGGTCAGTGGGTTGTGCCAGGCCAAGGTTGGCTAGCTTTTGGAACGTGCTTTCGTTACGACTCCTGGCACATTGGAGTCAGCTTAAACTGAAATCTGTGGGGCCGCTGGATTTTCTCAGGTTTTGCTGTGATTTTGGTTTAGAGAGATTGCTTAAGTAGCACAGGAAAAAATTTGGACTTCTATTTTCTTTTGGTTTACCACTCTTTTCGGATTTACTGTGTTCGGTTTAGGCTGACTCCACCTCTACTGAATTTAGTTTTTGTGCCATTCTTGAAGGATTTATGCTTTTGATATGTTACTTGCTCACCTGTTTCCAGGGATGTTCATTGATTAGTTTCAAATTTTAAACCAAGATGTTTTAGTTTGATCTATAAAAATATTTGTCATTGAGTTCTTCACATTTAGCATCAGTGTCATTGCTTTTTTTTCGTTTTTGGTCTGTAACGGTAAAACTGAATCCAAAGACACGAGAAAATGAAGCTGAAGAAAGCTTTAAAGAATAGATTACAGATATCTGAAACCTCTATAAAGAAATTATCAATGGTTTGGCTGAATTTTGTCTTTCAAGGCAGCTCTTTTTTGTCAAAAAACCCATTGTGGTAAATTTGTCTTGTTTTTCCCACAGAAATCTGAACCCAACAGTTACAATACCTTCCTTCCCAAGTTCAAGGACACCTTGATAGGAAAGGGCAGACGTGACTTCTGGGACCAAATTGTGAAAGGTGAGAAAGATTCTTTTAAATGATTTGAGGCTAAAAATGTTTGAGTTTGAAATATTAGACTGTTGGATATTTCATTCTTTCTAACCGAAGTCCTTATTTTTAATAGCTGTAGCTGCATCTCTACTTATCATGTACGGTAGGTGTTTCATCCATTCTCAAGATTCTAAAGTAAAGCCCTCATTTCAGCTAAGGTTGGCTGATTACAATAACAAACCCATTTGTTTGCCCTTTTTTTGCTTTTAGATGATTTAAGAGGGAGGGGGAGTAAGATGAATATTGGTCTCTGGGCTCAATTTCTTCTGTGAATGTCCTGTATCAATATGTGAACAGGAGTTTTGGTCTGCAGTGGGTGTCAAAGGAATGGTGAATGGTCCAACACAAAGAACTGTTGAAACATCTACTAAGAAGGCCACCCATTGTCTTGGAGAATAGTGGTTGTCTTCAACAGGTGGACGTCTTGGACAGTGTTTTTATGATGTTTTAACAAATGAAAATGAAAGGGGAGAAGTGGAAATGGTTATTTATACAGACAGGTGATTTTCTTAGACAGGTGGCTGTTAAAGTATGTTTTGACTGCTCTGTGTCAGTTTGTTAGAAATTCATTTATTTTATTTTAACTCTATATATGTTTTCTTGGTTGTTTTTTTTTACTTGTTTTCACTTGACCCTTTATAAAGAATTTTAAAGAATACCACAATAATTTATTATTATAAGGTAATGCCAGTTATAGTATCGATGTCCTTCTCTTTACATAAACCTGTTGTCGTGTCCATCAGAGAAACAAGCTCTCATCACCAAGCCCGAGTGCGAGGAAAGCGCAGTGACGGTGGAGGAGGGCGAGAGGTTCGTGTCTGGCGAGGCCAAGGAGGAGCAGACGGCAGCAGCC